AGGCTGAATACCTGTTCAAAGAGAATCCAGAAGGGAAGATGTTCCAGCCCGATTACACGAAAACGATGAAGTCGGTCCTGGATGCGATCGAGAAGTTTCAGGGCGAGTTACTGCCGGCGGAGGAGTTCGACGACAAAGTGAAGGAGTTCTTGAAGCAACAGGCCGACGTTTCTGACGCCGAGGAGACGTCGGCCAGCAGCGTGGAGGACGTTTGCACCCGTATGTTAGATTTACTTTTAAACTAATTTCGATTTAGAAACCAATACGGCGCGAACTCTTATCGACAGATTTTGGGGGAAGTGATACGAAAATGAAACCGTGCGTTACACCTTGCTTCCGTTACGACGACGTGATATCGATGGAGAAAGAGGGAGAGTCTCTGTACGACGGAGACATGGACTTTGACGGGGACGACGTTTGCTAAGCTTCCACGAGGACGTGTATTCCCTTGGGGTATCACCAAGTTTGGCGAAATAGTAGGGGCAATTAATTAATCCACGAACCCACCGGTACAACGACAATATTTAGCCAGCTAGTCCGGTATTCCTGTAATCTGATGATCCACGCATCTTAATGTCCTACACGTCGGTCCGTCGTCTTCGGCTAACACGACACAAGATCTCGACAAAGTCCCCCGAGCCCTCTAGTATGTTGTAGTTTTGAGTCGAACATTGTTCGGATAATTGGAGGGATCAGAAGATTAAATTTGTGCTGCTGTTGCAGAGAACAGAGTGCAGAATGTGAAATTGAAGACTTTGCAAGGCTAGTATCTTCGGGTGATTGTAGACTCGTAGTGTTTCAGTCGTTTTACAGTATTCCAATGTATTTTGGGGAACTTCCATTAAATGTGCAATGAGTTATAATTCAGATTTGAGACTATCACGCTGTAGTATCGTATAGTTGATACTGTTGAGATTTTCGGGTGTAAAACAGTAGTACTAGATTAAATGATGGTAGCTGACAGCTTGATAAAACTGTGAGACTATATTTCCGCAGATTGCACTCAGAAAGCCTTAATGGTAATACGTATAAGAAGATCGTATATATTAAATTAATAATTTGAGAATGTGAGACTAAACTTTGTTACCGAAGGCCGTGTTTGCTGCGAAGATGGTGTTTGGGGATTAGCAAGGGTAAGCGCGTAGTTGATAATGTTCCAGCCAAAGGATCCCATTCGTGCCCCAGAATTTCCATCTGTGTTTACGTTCGTGTGTACCGGCGCAATTTGCTTTCAGTCGGCCCCTTACTACCGTCCTTTGACTGTTTCGAGCGGTTCTGCTGTGGAATTGAAATAGGTTCCGAAAAAGATACCGAACAATGCGTGTAGTTCTAAAGTAAGTGCAACGAAGCAGAGCGGTAACGAGTCACCAACATTATGGATACTTTCATAATGGGCGATTTCAAGGTTTCTGTGTATTACAACCTAATAGAAACTTTCCACTCAACGATTTAGTCAGGTTGGCTGTTCAAAGGATGGTCCAGAGGCCAGCGAGACCTTGCTGCTAAATATGCATCGCGGGAAGTGCGGGAATATCTGAAAGTACCAGGCGTCCATTAGGCCGCAATGTCAAGGCGAGGCTTAATCGGTTTCGTTAATGAGGTTCCTCCGATCTATTATGGAGGCGGGGGGGGGGGGGGGGATCGAATTCTCGAACCGAATGCTCCGTGTCCTTGACCATTGCCATATCGGAAGCTGCGGAAGCTACTTCGCTCGGAAATAATTCCGTCGCGCATGTAGTCGTCAAAGGACCAATCCAGTAGAATTGGATCGTTTGATGCTGCCCAACCGACCCACGGGGCGCCAATTTCAAATTTCTCCGTGAATAAACGTCACACGCTGCGAATACGCAAATATTAGGCGCTTTGATGTAAACAAACCGATTGAGAGACGATCTTTTGCAAAGAAGAAGTAAGCAAACATGTAACATAGATGTTGCTTCTTACCCTTCGAGATAATCAATTCAGAAAATTCGTCGAGTACGGAGCCTGGCTGACGTGTCTGTCCATTACTCACTGTTTCTACTTAATATAGTGCCTTTCATTTTTCAGTGATTTTAATATAATTCAACCGTCAGTTTTAATCAAAAAGTTTGTTTGCTTGAACAGTAATTGAAAAAAAAATGTATAGTAGTAATATTAAAGCTTCTAGCCGCTAACATAAGTAGAAACAGTCAGTCATAGGCAGACACGTTAACCAAGTTTTCCCTGCAAAATTATCCCTCGGTATCATATTTGGTCAATCGTCCTGTACTTTATACATTTTCCCGGAATTATTTATACAGATTAATCCACTAAACGGCGAATTAATTCGATTAAATTTCAAATACGGTTTAAAATAACATATCAGAGATGTATATTATTTTCGATATGAGAGAAACAATGGAATATATGAAAAATTTTTAGTCGTAGGTGTATAAATGGATGTTCAGTGAACTCTGTTGTCCTTCATAGCCAGTGGAGACCAACTTTTATTCAGACTTTTATCGCCTCGTATATGATGCGAAAACAGGAAAACAGTCGCGCGTAGAATTCACAGAGCAATTTGAAAATTAAAACGGATCAGAAGCCCACAGAGTATCGCGCGTTGATTATCAGACTCCGGTACGCGTTAATATTTCCCTATGACGACGCGCGCTTAAAATCCGCTGGCTCCAGAATACTACGAGTTCTCGGCCATAGTCAGCCGTAGGCGGTCTGACGAGGCCAAGGACGATTGTACCACATTGTTCCGCGTCTTTAATACGACGTCGGTTTGTTCCTTTCGCCGGGAGCACTGGGTATCGCTGCTCGCCTTTTTCATATTTCCCTTGAAAACAGACGGGAAGTTACGTTACACCGAGAGAACAAGGGAGGGTGAGAGAGAAAAAAAGTAACATTTCACGGCCGAGTCCATGCTACCGTCTGTTCGAAAATTGATGGTCCACAATTTCGATGTGTATAGTGGTTACCCCGAAATAAAAAAGATGCTAAAACGTTAAAATGTTCATTTTTTTTACTTTCTATCGCTATTATCGTATAAACACCTCCGTTTGTAGCAACACAATTCATTAAGTGGAACTGCCCTCGAATTACGAGGCCATAAATTTCGAAGCAATTATTACCTCGACGATAGAAATTCGACGTTCACATTTTTCGAAATTTAATTACCATGTCTGACAAAGTCTCTTACGATCTAATCTCTGATCTAATGAACGCATGACAACGTGCGCGTATTTTTTCACTCGTTGATCGCACAAACTGTACCGCCGTCTTTTCTTTTTTGCAACTTTCACCGCGGTCGGTCGACGGTAATTGTTCCTTTAAAAAAACTTCACGTCGTACAATATCGATTAACCGTAAATATAAATAGTATTGATGCACGCCGCTATCGGAGTAAACGCGACGCGCCCACACGTTTCTTTTTTTTTCCGTTTCGTTGTTTCTAATACGACGCTTTTGAAACGTGCGGTGATAAATCGCGAGAGGACGCGTAAAGAAACTTCGCCAGGGAGATCGGACGATTCGTCATTGACCAGGCTGGACCGGCGTCAAACTTAAGGAGCATCTGTCAGAACGGCCCCCTCGAGCCTCGACGAATAAAAAAAGGGAGACGTTGATACGGTGAAAAGAAGGCTCGGTCCAACGGGGGAATTTTTTGCGAGTCACTTTTGTTATTAAACTTTGATGATGTCTTTCACACCGAACAATTCACGTTTGGAATGGAAAGAAAACGACGTTAACATAATAAAAAGACGACATGTTACACTAACTAATATATTCTAGATCCCAAAAATTGTTTTTTTGCAAACACTTGTAGATCGTATTGTCTGATCGAGGTTATGCAAATTTAGGAGGTGAAGTTGCTTGAAAGTCGTAAAATAGTTTTAGAAAGGATTAGGAAAGTTGACAAGAAAGTAATTTTCACTATTCCACTTTTACATCTCGTCTTTGTTAATTTAACGAATCACTTGTTCGTTTTAATAGCCCCAAGAATGTTTGTTTAACTATCACAATGTTACGCTTTGTGTTGGGAGTTTTCATTTACACGGAAAATTCTACGTGAAATGTAATGCAGGATTGTTTTGAACAATAACAAACGTACCGTGGAATATGAAGTACCTCTATAGTTCAGAAATTGTATATTCCATACACTGGTAGCGCCACACGAGACAAGTGCCAAATGATTGCATTCAACGCGGACAAAGGTTAATTACCGTGCAAATAATATTTTGTAAAAAGACGAGAATCGTAACAATTCATCAGCCTCGTAAATTCTATGTAATTTATATCAAGGATAAAACTATTCTCGTAATTAATTATCATTCCGGTACGCGTGTCCAGTTCATTACACACAGACCCAATAATAATACGCAGCAGCAAGTGCCGCTGCGCCACGTTTCCGAAAGGTAAACATTTGCGGCACTCGCTCCACGAGCGACCCAACCCTCTCGTCCGATTAATTTTCAATCCAGAATATCGATCGTCGATCGCGTACAAAAATAAAATTCATCCATTTATCCTCCAAGATTAACGTCCCTCCCTGCGGTCTTATCGCCCGTTGGTCCTAACAAGAATCCAAAGTCCTTCTAATTCCACGGGAACCGCAAGCCACTAATCGCCCATCTTAATCCCCCCTCCCCCTCCCTCCGCCCCTCTGGATCGAATGCAGAACAATCACCGTAGCGAAGGGATCGAGAGTGAAATCCTTAATAATTCCGTGGGCAAAGTCGGCCGTTGCTTGCTTCGCGGCAAGTAACGTATACATATAGACGGTAAGCGGGTCAGCGAGCCAGTATATCTGTATCTTCAAACACCTGTTAGCAGTGGCTGCTCGTGTGGACGACTCAAAAACATCGCCTTTAAATTCTCGTTTATAAACAATCGTACACCGATATACTCCGTGCACAGCGAACGTTACAGAACTCCCCCGTAGATCCCCCATAACAATATGTCACACGCGCGAAAATTTTAATCGTATCAGAAAAATGAAAGTGAAGGGAGATGAAAAACACAAAACTTACCGGTATGTCCTTGCACAGAATAGTTGGCCTCCTCGCTGGGAAGCACAGTTTCCTCGAGGATGCTCTCGGATGCGGTCTTCACGACACCCATGATGTCTGTCCGGGTCCAGGTGTAATAGTTCGGTTCCTCGGTTGGTCGGATCGTCGGTTCCACGCGCTGAAAGAGGATGCGACGTAATGAGATCGCAGCACAACGATTACCCCTCCGGTTGATCGTGCCGCGTTGTCTGCCGTTGCCGGAATGCTCGGCGCCGTTTTGCCGACTTATTGCGTCTGCGTTCGCGCCTGCGTTCCCCGGTCGGCTCCCTTGAGCCCTCCGTCCTGCCAGCCAGCCTGCTGCTCTTCCCTCCTTGACCCTCGCGCGTATACATCCTACCCCCCTGGTCTTCCTGCCCCGCTTCCCCGTCGTTTGGCCCAGGAACGCGTCACTGTACGGGGAAGCAAGGCAATCCCTAGGCCAGGGGCGAACAGAGTGGCAGGCTAGAGACCAAGAGGGTGGCGAGGGGTGGTGGACTAGCTGCCTCAGCGTGTCCGATCGGGCACGGTCGAAGGGACGAGGAGGGGTTTATCCTCAGCCGCGCTTCTGCCAGTCGCTACTCTCGCTGGTTCCCCGTGGGGCGCAAGCCAGGGCGGGGTGCGCGGCAGGTACAACACACAGGGGCAATGTCGACCAACTGGGTCTCGGTGAAGGTCTCGGCTGGCGGCGGCTACCCGTGGCCCGATAATGCATCCTTTTTGCTCGAGGTTTTTCCCTTTGATACTTCGACGCTGTTGCTGCTTCTTTTCTTTTCACCCTCCACCCGTTTACGATGCTACCACCGAGCAGTATTTATCCTACTCAGTGGTATACTCGCTGGGGCATCGTTATTGCTTTCTAGGGTTAGGTTGTTAGTTTTGTTTCTCTAGTTCACTTCGTTTTCGGTTTTCTTACGCAGTTCTGCTGGGTTTTCTAAGTGCCTCGGACAATGTAGGGCTTTCTTTTTCATCAAACAAGATCTCGTCGACACTCGCGTGTCTGTAAACAGTTTTTGTTTTCTCACGAGAATCCGTCCGTCAGCACGTTGCCGACCTTGAACAGTCGACGCTGGGCGCGAGGGTGCTTGAACCTATACGCGTCCGAATTACCCTCGCGCGTTCTCGCCCTTCTGTTATGCCCCTTGTACAATACGAACCCTGTTATTTTTATAGAATTGAATTTCTTTTCTCCTCGTTTGGACGTCACGTGGGCACGAGGCCGCGGCACCACATACCCTCTCGGTCGGCCTTAGCCACACGGCTGTGCGAGACTTGTTGCACCCAACGCCCCAAAAGAGGAGCAGCTCCTCCTACGTCGCCGCGACGCTCGATCCTTACGTCTAGCTCTCCAACGTCGGGACACGTGGGCTGGCTGGCTGGCTGGCTACACGATAAGGATGCAAGGATTTCAAGGACCCTCTTCGATCGGTGGTGGGGATCATCCAAGGTCGCGCGCTTTCCTCCCTGGGTCTGCGTTCGTCTTTATTCGCCCGTCGTGATCACGAGATGGAGGGAGACGCGCCGGCGTTCCCCTCTGATTTTCGACACCACCGCCGCCACCGCCCTCTTCCACCTATCAACTCCAACCACCTCCACCACCTCCACCACCTTCCGACCGCTCCACTTTCCCTGTTCCACGGCCTTCCGTTTACGCCTTCCACCCTGCAACCCGGAGTGCTCTCTCGCGCGCGATAGTTAACATCGATCGAATGATCTCTTGCGCCCGGATTTGTGCATACGTCGCTGGCATATTATATGTACATATGTGTACATACACACGGATGTGTGCATCCCGCCGCGCAACTGGTGTAGCCCGCGGATCGATTTGAGTTCATTGTATGCTGACGTAGCGGTATCCCGCGACGTTTTCTCCCCGGGTTGCCTGGGACAACGGGCGTGGATATATGTATGTATGTATATGTATACATTGTACACGAGCGCGTGTATGCCAGGCTATTCTGCGTCTGCTGTTGCTGGCGGCCACGTGTCCTAGACCGCTGCAACCTGGATACTGGCGCTGTATTTCTCTGACCGCGAGTCAAGGTTAACGATGTTGTATCCGATGTCAGCCGTCATTCAGAGTTTTTAAGCTGAATGACCGGGGCTGGGTTTTGCGGATCCAGTTGATATCGAAATACGGGGATCGATCGGGTGATACAAATGTGGTACGAACATGACATTATTTGTGTGAAAACTTGGAGAATGTAGAATTAACGTTATTCGCGGTGAATTCTTGAATAATAACCTTTATTCTTTTGACATGATTCGTGCGTTTGGCTGGCTGCCATATAGTGCTTTCAACTTTTCCCACTGTCATGCTAGTACTTTCTTTGTTCCTACTTCCAACGCCATTTACCGTTTCTTTGTACTTACGAAGTATTAAGAAAGGATGCAATGGAAAGAACTTCTGTTTATTCAATTCACCAAGCAGAATGTTCCCTTCATTATCGAATCTGATAGATGCAGTGTAGTTAATAATTAGTTAACTAGGTATACTAAAGCTTATTCTCGTATCGATTCTATTTCATTGTTGCTATTGTTATGGATATTTCATTTTAGTGCGTTCAATCAAAGAGATAATACTTTTACGATAATTGGGCGCCCCAGCAAGCTACCACTATCCTCGTTCCTAAACAATCTTCTGTAGTCTAGTTACACCTTCCAGGCACAGGTCTGTAGAGAATTGTCGTTCGATTGCACCCCTGAGGCATTTCGGTACACAAACTAACAGTGTCTCCACAGTTTGCCATTTTCCTTATCAGACAAACACTTCTGAACAACTATATTCGCAACAATATATAAATCACACTTCCTATCCAAATAATTTTCCTGATCCAATAATATTTTCCAATGTATTTTCCAGTAGCGTCTCGTTACGTGTTCCATCATAACTCCCATCAGCTTCGTGTACCTTTTCCGTCGACTATCCACCATACAACACTGATTGATATCGAGCAACCGATAAAGCTCCGTTCAAAAGTCACCGTTTAAAAGGTTTTCACCGTGAAACAATTCTAAATGTCACCGTAAACTCTCGTAACGAGGCCTATAATTGGGGGTGGGGCGCTTGTTCCTGGCTCCTGTCACGATCGAAGTTTTTAATACAATCAAGAAAAGGCCGGCGTTCAACTAATAGTTATTAGCTATGTGGCCGGTCACGTGGACCGAGAGACTGAAATTGTTTAATGGTCAGAAGCAGCCAATCGATACACAGTCGCACGAGCTATACACGCGCATTGCGGATGGAAGTTTAGAGCCACCCCATAGTGGCGAGTATCGATTCTTCCGCGTAATATTTCTAACGCGAAGTTCCAATCGACGCGAAGTCGGCGTTCGAAGTGACCAACGACACACGATTCGGGTTTGCTTACTGCTAAAACCTCTTCTATAATTTAAAAATACCCATATAGTTGTTTATTTTTATGCCTCCCCGTCGTCAGCCGGTCGATCGACCGAACGGATTGAAAAGTCTGCCTTCGGAAGGTGTCGGCCAGCAGGTCCATGAGACGCTGTACGTGACGTTCTATTGACAACGCGAAGGCGTGCCAATATAACGAAGCTTCCGATCCAACAACTGTTAATAAACTGAATTTAAATAGAACTGTTGATCCGTCACTAACGAACTTGCATAACTGGCACGGCCACTCTAGCTGCTCGATCGTGTTCGCTTGCCGGATCACGATTTTCGTTCTGTACGCTCTTCAGATGCCATGGCCACGGGTTTACATAGTCGAGTCGATGATTTTTTAACGGTTACAAGTTCCATTTCTATTTCCTGGAACGACTGGAATTCATCTTGGTAGAATTTAAAGACCAGGTGCTGGTATTTTTGTAAATGATCCGATGACTAGACGTAGGAATATTTAATGATGGATCACAAGAGTGTTGAATACGGACTCTGATACCGAAATTGATAAAAAAATAAATTTTTTAATTATTTGTAACCGTAACTTTTTTAATACACCTTTGTTTGAATAATTTCTGTGTCCACTTTTTTTTCCCATTTTAATTTCAACGTGCAGCAATGGACGCAAAGTACTGCAGAAAGAATTTGCGGATATGGGTTTTGCAATGCGAATATTGCTGAAATTCAGTCGTAAATTAGAACTAGTCGTGACAGAAACTGTTGGTAATTGCTCCTCGTGCATTGTAAACGCAGTTTTTCGGCAGCGTCGTGGGATAGTGTAAGTTCAACCTGCTGCATATTCAATCGAAGTTGTTTCGAGCAACGCACGAACGCAAAACCATTAGCGCGTGTATTGACTTAATTAAATCATTGCGCTTGCTACATCTACAGGAAACAAACACATTTACGTATTCTTTGTGTTGCTCTCAGATTGCGTTTGTTCGTCTGAAAACGGAAACGTACATCATTAACGGATCTTACTTACATTCGATTTACAACCCATGAAAATCGGACCGATAACTTTGAACATTGAACTTCAATTTTAAATAATAGTATTTTCTATAGCTGCAGGATAATAAAAAGGTTACAGAATATTGCAAAGTTACGTGACACAATATTTCTAATAAGATACGGTATTAACACTTGTTACAGCTTCTTGTAAATTGTTATATTATGTTCCTTTCTTAATTACTATATTACTGTGTTATCTTATTCCGATCTGTGTATTCAGTTTCACCGCAATCAAGGTTAGTTTTCTACGTTACAGTTACCTTCTTGTCTTATTAATACACTTAGTGCTCACTGGCTTAATCTTTATAATCACGACATGTTATTAGACTGCTCGATTTAACGTAAACATAAACTCCCACGATGAAAATCATGGCCAGTGCATGACAAGACACGTATAGTTGGAGGTCATTGTACACCTGTTGCTGATAGGGATGGGAATACCTGAAAGCCATGCAATCGTGCGAATCATCTACCATTTAAAAAACCTAATGTCCAGAAAGGTATGACGATAAAGAAAGTTTAAACCATTTAAATTCTCGAAAACTTTCATTCTTACAACCTACGATATAAAACCATAGAACACGTCGGGCACTGTAATTCGAAAAGTTTTCCGAAACCTTGGAAAAAGATGCATAATTCAACCGTACGATTTATATAGCCGTCTCGAATAAATCTTTTCTCGACGGTCTGCTTGTATCTCGACAGTAAAAACAACACGAAGATTTTCCCAGGGCCGCTGTCAGATTTCTCACCTTGTCCGTACCACGGATAGAGGTGGTTCACACGCGTGTGAAAATCGTAAATAACTAACACGTTATTCCGTTCGGAGTTCCGCAATTAAAGGCCTGCGAGAGAACAGGAAGCGCGTCTTTCCTGGACGCTCGCCGCGACAGCTCTCCATAGAATGGGCTGTCCTATATATATATAATTTTTTTTTATAGAACGACTCGACAAAACCTACTTTGCGCCGCGATTCAGCCAGGCGCAATTAAACGCGACCGAGTACGAAGCCATTGTGCTGCTGCTGCCTTCTCTTCTTCTTCGTCTTCCTTTTTTATTCGCTACTAACCGAAGCAACCTTCGAAACCGACCTTTTTTTTTCGCGGAATGACGTGTGCAATCGTGAACCAGATCACTCCGTTGGAACCTTTTTACAGCGGCGTGCAGAGACATGCCCATTCGTGATGAAATCGTGGAACAGAGTATCCAGAGTGTAAAACTGTTCGGAACAAGAAACGGTGCACACACGTAGGTGTCCGATCGGCGTAATGTCTTAATCAAGCACCCGAAGCAAATTGACGGAAAATCGAGTCACGGTTAATAGCGGTGCGCGGTTCCCCTCTTTTAATTCCTGGTGGAATATCGTTTCTCACGATGCAAACTTAATGGAAGCTGTATTGATTGAATAACTGCGACACCGTGTTCCAGAGATACGGAGGGGTTAAGTTCGCCTGGAGACCGGGTGATTACGCGAGTCTGTAATCCGTGGGAACTTATGACGGCCAGTTAAGGCAATCTTGAGCGAAGCTTATGACACGAGAATACCTTCGTAATTATGTTAACGTTCTGTTCCGGCAACACGATTCCGAGAATCTACCGTTTCTCATTTCTAGACCACGCTTGGATCGTATTTTCAACCTTGTTTATCGATACACTTCAATTGATTAGTTATCTGATAAAAACACTTTCGATCGGACTGCTAATAGCAAAGTAATCTCTACTGATCACGATTCGTGGTTCACCATGTGTACATCGTCTGCTCGTTAAGGGATCATTCTACTTTGACGTCCGAAAAAGTTAAGCTATGTTCAGGAGTTTTTTCCAAGAACCGGAAGCCTACAACTGTTCTCCTGTCGCGAGTGAAATGTGCTCGACACGCTGGATCGTCCGCGGGAAAATCGGATCGTAGGAAAAAGTTCAGTCGAATAAATCACGGGGCCGGCGGCGCTCGTTCCGCGTGTACACGCGAGAAAAGATTCAAATCTCCGTCTGTAATGAATTAAACGGTCGGTCTTCGAGTTAATTGCGCGGGCTCGTTTGCTTAGTAATCAGATCATGCACGTAGCGAAAGTGCGCTAACTATGCCGCTTAACTCTTTGTGCTCCGATTACCGCGGCCGTTTAACAGATAATCCATTTGTCCGAAGACTGCCCAGAGTTTTCCATTTCTCGCCGAGTCGTAAACGTCGAATCCGCTCGATCGTTCGCTATTCGGCTGTCCCCCCGTTTTATTCCTTCCGCACGATTATCTCGGTAACTACCGGTGGTCGGTCGGGAAAGACTCGGGGATGAATTATTCCAATGGCAGAGGGATGATCTACGATTTGTTTCGTCCACGAGAGAGAGAGAGAGAGAGAGAGAGAGAGAGGGAGAGGGTGGAAAGTATCGTGGTCGGAATAATTTGCTTCTGGAAGTGATTTTGTAGCTTGGGGGGTTGTTTTTGTTTTTATCTTTTTATGAGATTCCGCGAATTTCTCGATCGGATGCGTAGCTATCGCGTGGGAAATTCGACGGATGGGGTTGTTCAAGGTGAATCTAGGTTATTTCTTCGATGTTGAAAGTTGACATTGTATCTTGAGATTGTAATACAGTTCGAAAGGTGAAAAAGTCCCCGAATCCGTCTAGAAGAATAATGGTGGATCACAGATGGTCAATCTGTAACAGAACCTCCACCTGTAACAGAATAACTTCAGATCTGCAACCTTATCGAAACTATCCTATATTTACCTGTATCTTCTTTGGCTACTTACTGATAATAATTCGGTCCATAAATACAGACCATCCAATAGGTACAATCAGAGCGCCGCAGAAATCGTAAAAATCGATAGTAAAGAGGGGAGAAGACGAGGCGAAAAAAAGCGAACGACGATCGGATCGGTTGCATATTACAAAACATTAGATAAGCTTTATTAGCTGTTATTTTACAGTTGACGGGGGTCGCGCAATTAGTATCTGCGAATCGTGTTCAGTGGTCGAGGTCGAGCATACAAGCACCCCTTTATCTCGAATTTACGAATCGTTCGTTTTTCCCCCCGTGAGTGGAGATTTTCAAACGACGGAAACACACCGAAACCGCATCTGTAGGATGAAAAGGGAATTCGAGCCGGGGGACAACGCTTACACGCTCGACGAAAATCGCGCTGGAAACGTAGATATGGATCTGTTCTGTCAGCGCGTCGTCCTTAACTTGTGTAATGAAATTTATTACTTCTCGTAGCACCTTAGTCTTAAATAGAGAAAGAGAGAAAGAGAGAAAGAGATGCGTGTGGAGCCTTCGTCCTTCAGCAATGGGGACAGCGAATCAGACCGTTCACGTCGCACTTGGCGCACTTCAGCGCGACGAATTCCGCGGTGAAGTCGTTGCGGTGTACGGACCTCTTGCTGCCGTTGCAAATCGGGCATAGCTGCCATTGGTAGCCACCGCAGAATAGGCACACGGTGCACGCGTCATCGCTCTGAAAATTGAGACACGAGTCATATTTCTCGTTCTAATTCATTCTATTCCTGTACCTCGGAAATGGTGGTCTGACGACTTTCTTATGAGGGAGTCAGTTGATAGAATAGCGATTGTGTATTTGGTATACAATTTGGTTGGAAGTCCATGGTACAAGGTATTAATAGTACGTAGATTGAATGGCTTATGCAGGATTGTAACAATATGCAATGATAATGGTATTGTATTACGTTACATAAACGAACAGATGTTGTTTTGGAACCAGATTCTGACAGAAATCGAATTAATACGAAAGGTAACAAGGAAATACATACAATAGTATACAGGATGTTCTCTGCTTTTTGCAAGTAACATAATGGCGTATGTAATTTTGTCGTTTCCACTATTTTTTTATTGGAAATGCAGGTGACCTTAAATTTTTTAAATCGTGTGCTATATATTTTTCTATATCATATGAAAGCAAAGAATTACATACGCTATTATGTTACTTGCAAAACACAGTACTACTGTTCTCTCTTTTATTTTTTTATAATATTTACTATTTCAAAGAAAAACGCTAGCTAGTAATAGCGCGAATGTCCTGTATATAACAAGAGAAATAAATACCGTAAAAACGTTTGGAAAAGTTGAAGGAAACGGAGGTAAATATTTGAGCGAGTAGATTGATTGGGGTGAGGGTACATGAAAAGGTATAGGCAAATTAGTATTAGTACAATAAAAAGGCAGGAAAATATACGGTAACGAGAGAGTCGACTGGCAAGATTATGAACGATGTAGATCAAAGATCTCGTTCGAGTAGGTAGCTCGGTGTGTCAGGTTGTTCTGGTGGGCGGGATAATTATTGAAAAAGGGTGGTGAAATAACATCGTTATCGAAGTTGTAGAATGCTACGTAAGAGCGAGTAATATAGTTTAATGCAAGTTTGTATGGATAACGAGTTGAAGGAGGCAACATGGTGTCGAACGAGCCGACAGAGAGATTTAGCTGTTCCTTGCGCTAGACTCGGTTCTGCGGTCGACAGGGTGGAATTGTTTAGAGGACCATAAAACGAGCGTGACAATCTCGATTCCACGTTAATTTTCAACGTGCACGGCTCAGCTGACGCGGTTGCGCAATTCTGGCTTTCACTTTTATACATTTTCAGCTGCATTCTTCGGGAAAAACGCACGTCGATGTGGGCGATGTTTCCTCGATTCAAGTTTCGACATTTGGATCAATGAACTCTCGACGTTTTTATTCCAGTATTCCTCCTATCACCCATTTTATTTCGTAAAAGTAGGACCTCAGAAGTGACATTACAGGAAGTAGAATGATGTTCAGATAGTTACAAAACTTAATTCTTAGAGAAAGGAAATAACTAGTGCAAAGTCTGCAAGAACCCATTAAAACGCTATCTATTAATAGTACATACAATGTGTGCATATAATGCGGTGGATCTCCACTGACATTGAAATAATGTGTGCCACAAGTAGCTTCACGAAACTTTGCTTGTGCCTAAAACTTCGTACGAGGAAAGTAAGTGAAGCAAATTTTTGTTTTTTTTTTCCATTACAAAGAATTTACATACTTCTTTTTCCCATGAATGTTGGAATGGAATTGTAATTAAAGCTAACATTCCTGTTCTGGCGTACCGGTAAAACATACATCGATGTGATTTCTCGAAACCGATGGAGAATCGTTGTGTAATCAATTGAATTCAGAATAGTATTGACATAACATCAATGGACGGTTCTTCAGCGAAAGTTTTGCCACAGCTTAGATGACGAGATACGCTTGGCATTCAGCGCGTTAATGAAATAAACTGTATATACGACTCGGAGTGTGTGCTTATTGTGCGAAGAAAGATGAGAATGGCGATGATAGGTTACGCAAGAATTGCGTAAAGATTGCCGGGGAAAGGATGCATCGTTTGATTACGTATTTTTCCGACACACTCGGTCCACCGCATAATTATTCTAGGGAACGATAACGTAGATTTCATTCTTTTTTCATCATTAATCGATAACGAGGAATGAAAAATTGCCGACGTTCCCCTTCAATCCATCTTATTCTCTAGATTTTCTCAATAAAAACTACTGAACCGAAGAAATTAATTAGCTGAATTTTCAGAGTTCATTACTGCAGGACAAGTTGATTGTTCCTTCGGCACGATTACTTCAAAAGACATTGAAGTTGACAACTTTCTAGTCCTTGCCGCCACCATTCAACATTAAAAACCTCGTGCCGTGTCGTACGACTGAGTCAAGCAAATTCTTCTTGAAATACTTATTTTTATCTCTTTCCGTGAGAAACTTTTACTACGTTAAATTCCATTTACATTCCTTCTGGACCTCTCTCTCCATCACACGTCCAGCTTCGATGTATCAATGAAGAGGTGCCGGGAGAAATTCTAATGAAATGTGTAGGAGGTTCGAAAAGAATGAAATCCCGCTGACTCAGTTGTGTTTCCACGCTCTAATGTCGCTTTTCCTCGCAAAGGACCTATTCGAGATTCCTGGAATCGAATGAGTTCAGTGTCCTCGGTACACGAAGAATATTATAAAGGCGGGGCCACATGTAGGTAGTCGGTTCGAGGACGGAAGGAGCACCCCAGGAAAGTGATAGTGTCGGGCAACAGTGTAAACGACCTTTACACGCTGCAAGGTAAACCTCAATTGTACGACATCGAAATTTATGATCGCGTTGGAAAAGGAAGGTGGAGGCAGATATCGCCGGATAAAAGTGAAAGGATCGTACAACCTTGCGTTCGCGACGGATTACGGTACACGAGCGCGAGCCAGCTCCTCGGCTCCCTTTACGCCGCGTGGTCATATATGCCCGACGCCGCTGGTTCCATTCTTCTACGCGGCATAAATATTCCGAAGACGTGGAACATAGTTACGCGGAGAATTCTCGGAACCGGCGCGGAATTCCTGGAGGGTCAAATAACTCTTCCATCGGGTGGAATATCGACAGCCGCCTCCGACACAGCTGTCTTTCGTGAATTGCACGTCGACGCGAAGTTATATCCAGGGGAAGAATTCAGGAGAGGATCGAGCAAGATTTAGCTGTATTCGTGTTTCAGATTTAAGTTCCGATTTAATGGGGATACAGAAGGTAACCGGAGAGCGGCATTATAACCGCGAGGAAACATGTTTATCGATTAGTTGGTTTAAACCAGGTAATGTAATTGATTTCTGACTTGTTCTCTCATGGAGTAGAGTAAATTTGAATTTAGATTCGAACTTATGTTTGTTAATACGGTGATGGAGATAGAAGAATTTGGTTTCTTTAAGGAAGGCCAGGATTATTATGCAAGTTTTAATTACCTGGTAAGGCTTAAGCATATCCCTCAGCTCTCCGGATTCGTTGAGCCGCTCGACGGTGTCAAATCCCTGGAACAAGAAATAAGTTCTGGTGACCGTGTAATCCGGCGTAGAAGTCAGTGTAATGAAAAAAGTAATAAGAATCTTTTGTGCTTCAGTTCTTTAGAATGTGACAGTATTTATTCCTGTTATATTAATAAAATATGTAATAATTGATTGCTCCTGGTGGTACATCGTTGTTGCGATAACTGAGACGCGCGTATTATGCGCGTCGACATTGTATTAACGTGTGCACGAGAGGAAAATCCTATTACAGTATTTATGACGCAGATAACAAGTACCGTAATCACTTTGGTTTTGCTGTCAAGCAATTTCCACTGGTTCACGGCACTTTATCGTTAACCATTTAGCGGCATCGCGTAAACGCGACAGCGGTAGCGATAATGAACATTTTATGAAGCTTCGTGGTTCACAAACGGTTATGTGTAGTCGAACGGTTTTATCAGGCTTTACTCGCAGTTCTAAATGTTTCTAACTTTAAGGAAAACTAAATGCAATTTCAATCGAAACCAAGGAAAATGCCATAAAATTTATTTCTTTGTCCCTGAAAAGATTTAAGTCCTAGATCGGTAATCCACTCGAATCACGGAAAAGTAATCTACAGTTCGAAAACCGAACTTTAATACAGCTGTTTTATGACATTCTCCTTTCCAGACATTCCTTTTCTTTGAACAGTAATTTTAAGAGTGCTCCATACTCTATACAGTCATTATGATCGGTATAGTAGAAAATAAAGCTATTAAATGGTCCGGTATTGTATTCATTTTGATTGTATATCTACTCAATTACCATAGAATATACGTCACTATCGAGCTTCAATTTCAAATAAAGCAAGCGTAAACACAAAATGATCCTTTCAGGCCAAGTTCACGAATCCTTGAACATTTCACGATTCCTCGGTATCTACGTCTGAGCCGCGCGATTCGTCGACCCTAGCAAAAGTTTCTCGTCCCCTTTACCATAATTAAAAGCGACCCGAAGGACACTGGGTGTATACAATATTCTGCGTCGCGGGTCGAGCCAAAGAAACTTCCAAAGCCGCGCTTTATCGTCCGATGTTCGCGCGCGCGGCTGTCGCAACGGCATTACGAAAAGGAACGATTGATGCCTTTCACCGAACGGCGAGCCCGCGAGTTTCTAATCCGTCAACGACCCGCCCCGAAAGAAAAAAATCCGCGAATGGAACGGCGAATCGATGGAAACAATGCGAAATTTCCAACAAACAAAATAATTGCCTGCCCTACCGTCGATTGCACCTCGAATTGCAGCGCTACAATGCCTTGTACGTGGGTACAGGATGATTCAGAACCCGAGTACACAGGATATCTACAGGTTTGATCGATGTGTAATCGAAATTTTGCAAAACTCGAAACGAACGAAAGAAACGTCAAACACTGGGTAGTGTGTGTCGAGTATCTAAACGGTGTGTTAAACTTAGGCGGTCTTGGTGTCCATAACAGGACGATCGAATGCATGGAAATCGCGCGCGCGGCGTGGTCGAGCTGGAATGCAGTCCAGAGTGCGCGGTTCTCTGGCTCGCGCGAAACCACAGCAGGGCCGTAATGCCGTGTAACGCAAGCAGCGGCCTCACCTTTCTCTCTCCCTTTTTCTCTCTGTCTCTAGCTCGCCAACAACCCCCGGCCTTGGAGCAGTTTGTCATTTCGCTTTTACGCGCGGTTATCTACGCCGTTGACGATCGTCGGCCGCGATCCAGACGAGGATCCGTTGGCCGTTAACGCCGCCCGACGTCCTGAGCAATTGGGCAATTGCGGCGGCGATGATTGAATACGCGGCGCTGCGCCGACTTTCCAACAGCTCCGGCGTCGGTACGTGTCCGGCAAGCGAAATTAATTCGGGAGGATCCATCGCTATTGAATCCTCGGGAACACAGAAGCGGTGTATGAAATGGGCACAAGGCGGGGATATAGATTTTATTGGCGTTGGAGGAAATAAAACTGGTCTCCGGCTGAAATGAGAGACGGCGATTGGATTGGATGAACTTTGCGACCGGGTTACTGTAATCGGATTTAAACAGCTTCTACAGGTCGCTACAGAAGCAGGATTACGATCTATGATGAGGGTGATTCTTCGCGGGAGAGTGAGTAAAAGTGTGTAATATTTTTTACTCGTGTGTTGTGTCATATTTTGGGAAAACGTAGTTCTTTTGAGCGAGGCTCAGGAGATTTATCTGTGTACAGGCTGTAACGGAAATGGGTGGACAAGCTTAGGGACCCTACTTCGTTCATCTTGGTGGTGAACAAATTTAATGCGTCTCTTCACTCATGATGCTAGTGAAGTCATTCGAAACTCCGTATGCACCACGCATCAACGTTTGATAAAGGTAGGTGTGTAGTAACTGAGGTTGGTGGAGGAGATAACAACTGTGGGTCTTAAGACGTTTGTCTACCAAACCCAGAGAATTTAAACAATGTTGGAAATACTAGATAACCTCCTACATCTCAACATCTTTTACGTGACGTTAAAACGAGTACAGCACACTCCTAAATTTAGTACACATTTCTATTATATGCTATGCGAAAGTATCAATTCTTGTTGTAAGTAACAACAAAAGAATGTTAGTATTTGGAGTAACCTACGTAGCGGAAATGTGCAACCTTGACCGCAAGACGAATCGCCGGCAACAACCACATCGTATTCAGTGACAAAGAAAAAAGAAACAGAAAGAAAAAGTGAATACACACGGCTGAACGCTACTCGCGTAATTGTGTCGCATTTCCATTACGAAAGAATTCCATCGCGAATGGAATCGCGAGCGCGACTCGATGCAAACCGGCCTCTTATGAATATTTTAACATTACTGCCCGTAGCGAACAGTGTATACGGGCGGAACGAGCATCCTGCGTTATCATTTATTACCATTGACCAACATTGGTCGCCGAGAGGCGAGCAGCTCCGCGGAATGTATTAATTAGACGGTTCCTAACGCGGCCCGTTAATTGGGGCAAGGTAACGGCTGCCAACTTCGAATCCCATTACACGGTTGTGCCCCGTTCGCGATTTTCTTTTTCGAAACTTGGACAACAGCACAATTTTCTCCGGGGTTTGCGTAAGACTTCTTTCCATCAATCTTACTGTCTGGTGTTATTCCGTCAAGTTATTCGCCGTGGAGATTACAGAAGTCATTATTGAAAATTAGACAGAATACAATAGAGTTGTAGATAGAATTCTATTTGTGAATATGTTGGATATAATTATGTGATGTTTCAAAAATGTTCATTCATGCTTGACATCCGATACTGTGATCTTCTTACTTAGACGCCCACGTGATAAGCTACAGAATGAATTCAGACCCGCAGATTACTTGTAGGTGTACTATGTTAAAATTCCACATAGTATTGCAGTAGATAGAAAAAGGTTCGCGTGTAGTAGTAGACAGGCGGTAAATTCATACGAACTTACGAAAAGATCCAATTAACATGGTATATAAACTACACAGAGTACCCTACGATAATGCACACTGTGTATTCTGCCGTCTGAATACTTTCGTTCCTCGTTGTATGCGCTCATTTGTTTAAAAATACATTCCGAATCTTTATCCAGTTTAAAAGCGTTTTCGCATCTTTCGTTGTGTGCATTACCAGAGTGTTTAGCGAGGAAAATTGGAACGTAAAATCAGCCAGAAGAACTTTCTTTGTGCACTCGACGGAGCGAGTAAGAGGATCGTTGTGAACGTACCCGAGAACCAGCACGGGACCGCTGTATAATAATCAGCAAAATGACTATCGCATATGCTCCGTGTGACAAATGGCGCGCAGCAAAGTGTAATCTGTTCCGGTGAACGCAACACCGAAAACGAAAACCTAACTGTACCGCGTACATTCACGTGGCGGCCTCGTTGCATCTCCGCAAAGAATTCCATTATGATTTTACTTTTGTTATCGCGTGGAAAGTGTGCCAGAATTCAATTTCCAAAAGAAGTAACGCAACGAAGCACACGATCCATTCCCGAAACGATGGGAATAATTTAATTAACAATTGTCCTCGAAAAATACGTAGAAAAAATTGTCTGCGTTTCATTGTGTATTAATCGAATAAAACTGTGCCCAACACCGCCTTCGAACGTTTCTCGACAATAAAATTCACGTTCTCAGTAATGCAGAGCTCGAAGAAAATACTAAACCCATCGAACGTTCATTTGGTATTCATAGTAGCCAAAGAATCACAGAGTTGCAAAAACATACAACTCGCGACATGGGGCTGACGTGGCACGAAAGAAATCTGGAATTGCGAAAACCGTTGCGAATCGGCCCCGCGCTCCGTCGAACGTCCATACGCCGTTGGCAGTGGAAACATCGTTACAACCCGTTGAAATCCGTTTGATCGATGAAGAACCGTCTACAAAAGGCTCTCCCGTACAAACACGATATTACGTAACCGCGGTTGCAGATTTCCGGCTACAGGCCCGTTCAAAACGAGTCGTGTCTTTAACATTTCGCGGTCTGTCCCTTCTTACTTGGCCATCCTCCTCGACTTTCTCGATCGTTTAATAGCCGCCCCGATTGCGTAACACGACATCGGCCTTGCGAGAAGTTCGCGGCGTGTCGACTGTGAGAAATCACCTGAGCTGACCGCTCGAGTGGAGACGCGTGTAAGAATGCGTCGTGAAAGATGAACGGAGGTATGACGGAGGTGAGGTAAGGGTTAGGTTCATTTGTTTTTTCTTTACAGAAATCTACATTTTTCCGTAGATGAGAAATCGATAACGAGAATGGTTCCGTGCAGACTAGCCGGTTTGACGAACGTCGAACGCAGTTAGCGGGACGATCAACGACAGATGCTCACGTTTCATTATTCAACTGTGTTCACGGGTGATAACTGTAAAACCGCGGCCTTATCGAGAAGAACTGAACACGTGCCTGCTTGGAGTTACTCCTGTAATCTACGGGGGAACGAAGAACGGAGTTTTCAGGCTAATTAAGGAAGTGAATTTGCTGCAGCCCGATACGAGGTTCCGTCGAGCATCGATGGTTATCGTCGACTGGATTAATTGGACGTGAAGGATGTGTAACTTGTTCGTTTATGTAGGTACGGTTCAGCGTCACTTCTTACACTCACCTATTGATTCTATGGAAAATTGTCTGTAACGCTATTACACTGGATTCCTGTTTATCCACAGGGCGAACCACGAATCGTGATCAGTAGAGATTACTCTGTTATTAGCAGTCCGATCGAAAATGTTTTTATCCGGTATAATAATAATAATAATATCGTCGGAAGTCCACATACCCCAATGTGTTGTCCGTCAATGAAAAGCTGCGGCAATTGTATCGTGCTCAGCCCCAAACGATCCCTCAATTCTGCCTGAAGTTCCGCGTCGCCGAACAGATCCAACTCGTCGTACTTGACCATATGCGTCCTCAGGATCTGCTTCACCTTCTTGCAGTTGTAGAACGTTTTCCTAACAATGCCAGAGGTCGTCGTGTA